TTTGACCCCGAGGCAGAGAACACAGCCCCTCTGGTGGACAGCAAGTCGTTCCTCGCACGGCTGATGGGCGGGTCTGGTTCCCAAGGAAACAGTGGGTCACCTGACCTGTCCATGTCCTGTTCCTCCCACACCTTCAACAACACCATCATTTTCGGGCAGGTGGGTTGTAGCCCCTATAGCAGGCTCCTTGGGTTTCTTTGAAAAGTATGCTGTTCTTTTTTGGTAAATCAAATTTGGTAAATATAGATGTACTGTATGTGGTTTTAAGTTTTTAGCCTTTTCCCTGTTGCATAGAACTATAATAACTTGGTGTCAAATGGCTACCTCAGCAGGGGGAAGGTTAACACAGTTTTTTCCGTCCCCCAGGATCCAATGTCACCTCATCCCTGGACATGACCTGCCTGGATGAGACCTTTGCTTCACAGGAGGATGTGATTCTTGACTCTGACAAAAGCACAACAGCACAGCAACAGGACCGCAAGGGGACGATCGATGCCGGCAGCTTCCTCTTCAAGTTCATGCAGCAGAAACCGGCCCAGACAGAGGACAGGCCTGTCAGCAGTGGGGAGCACACAGTCGTGTTTGGACCTGGGGATCACGATGACATGGACTTCACCGTCGCTTTTAGCTCCAGACGACAGACGATGGGTTTGGAGAAGGAAGGGGAGACCCAAAGGCAGGTTGGTGTGGCAGCGCTGTCTGTATTCAATGAAGAGAAAACCACTGTCTTCAGTAACATGGAGCCTGATGCAGACATGGACTTCACATCTACCATCAACAGCATCAGCTCAAGCCAAGAAACTGCTCCTGTACAACCAGCTCAGAGGACAGAAGAACCAGACAAAACCATCATCTTCAGTAATACTCATACTGGAGCAGACATGGATTTCACAACTACCATCAAGAGCATGAAAATGGCACAAGAAAATGTTCCTCAACAGCCGACCTCAATGGCACAAAAACCCATTGAAGATAAAACCACTATCTTTGGGGAAGTTGAATCTGGTGCAGACATGGAATTCACTACAGTCATCAGCAGTGACGGAGCTGGAGAGCACGTTCCTGACCTGACCAGCTCTGTACAGCCTCAGGAACCCGCCCAAGACAAAACAGTGATCTTTAGTAATGTTGAGAGCAGTGCAGAGATGGAGTTTACCACTACCATCAGCAGCAGTGCTGAAGCACAGGAGCAGGTTCCTGGGAGTGCATGTCGGCCAGTTCCCCAAGAAGCCACACAAGACAGGACGACAGTTTTTACTGACGCTGAGCTGGGTGGAGACATGGAGTTCACTGTTGCAGTCGACAGCCTGCGACCAGGCACTGACAGTGTTTCCTCACATGCCCCACCTATCCTGTGTGAGGATACCAATGTTGTTGGAGACATGGAATTCACAGCTTGTGTTTCCAGTCTACAAACTGCTACGGATCATAGAGAGGCAACCTCTCCACTTAACAGTGGTCAACCTGCCGAGGACAGCCCTGAGAAAACTAAGATTCTTGACGTCAACACACAGGACGGAGACATGGAGCTGACAACAGTCATTC